CTTCCTCCTTCATCCTCCTTCTCTTACTCCATCCTTTTTAATTTTCTTCCTTCCTCTTTCCTCCCCCCTCCCCTTACCTTCATCTTCTTTCGTTTTCCTCCTCCCCCTCCTCCGTCCTTCGGGTCTGCTTGGGTGTTATAAGACTTGGCACGAACCCTCACTGTTCTCTCTCTCTCTCTTTCTTTCTTCTTTTTCAGGGGACGCAGCGGATATTCTACTACCTGAGAGAGAGAGAGAGAGAGAGAGAGAGAGACATGCAGTAAACAAACGAGTAAAGAATGAGATAATAGAATTGGAGTGGGTGAGGAAGGAAGGAGGAGAGGAGGAGGGGGGGGAGATGACAGGAAGATATGAGGAGGGGGAGGAAAGGCTGGTAAGGGGGAGGGGAGGGAGGGAGGGGAGGAAAGGAAGGAAGGTTGTGAGGATGATTGGGAGATTGAGAGAAAGAGAGAGAGGATGTTGTAGGTCTGACTTACCCGACGCGACTCTGTGGCGACGCAGGAAGTGGTAAGTACAGCCTGTGTATGACGTGAAGGGAGAGAGGAGGGGAGGTAAGGGAGAAAAGAGAGGGAAGAGAGGAATGAATGGGAGGAGAGAGAGAAGGAAGAAAGGAGAGAGGGGGGGGTGGTATTATCACTGTCAGTTAACTATCTGTGTCTACCTGTCGTGTACCTGTGTCCCTGTCGTGTACCTGTGTCTACCTGTCATGCACATGTGTGTACCTGTCGTGTACCTGTGTCTACCTGTTTTGTACCTGTCTACCTGGTGTGTACCTGTGTACCTGTCGTGTGTAACCTGTGTCTACCTGTCGTGTACCTGTGTCTACCTGTCGTGTGTACCTGTGTCTACCTGTCGTGTACCTGTGTCTACTTGGTGTGTACCTGTGTCTACCTTTCGTGTACCTGTGTCTACCTGTCGTGTGTACCTGTGTCTACCTGTCGTGTGTACCTGTGTCTACCTGTCGTGTACCTGTGTCTACCTGTCGTGTACCTGTGTCTACCTGTCGTGTACCTGTGTCTACTTGGTGTGTACCTGTGTCTACCTGTCTTGTACCTGTTTCTACCTGTCTTGTACCTGTTTCTACGTGGCGTGTACTTGGAGTATGACACGTTTACAATAGTAAGTTTAGGTAGGGGATTAGAATACTCAACCTAACCTAACTAACTTTTTTTATATGAACCGTTTGTTTCTTCTTTGTATGTTGTAGGTGGTGTGACGTTTGTTTATTGTTTATCAGTATGCAATAATAATAATAATAATAATAATAATAATAATAATAATAATAATAATATATCCACACGATTAAGAGTGGTTGGGCGAGAATGTTTACTCAATAATGTTAACTGTTATTATACTTGTCACTTCAGCGACACACACACACACCTGCCAGGCACCATGACAGACCTTCACCCTTAAGGTCATAAATTAAATGTCTTAAGGTTCCCAGTGTGCTCTCTCTCTCTCTTACAGTCTAAAACGTCGATTGTCGCAATAAGAGAGAGAGAGAGAGAGAGAGAGAGAGAGAGAGAGAGAGTAGGAAACCAACATTCAGACCAGGACGGAAAAGCGTCATTGTCTGTGTGTGAGTTAGGTGACATTTTACCCTTCCGGTGATGGAGTACTGTTGTGTGTGTGTGTGTGTGTGTGTGTGTGTGTGTGTGTGATATCCATAAATATAATAGGATAACCTTTTCAGAGAACGAATCAATAATCTCCTGGATAACTGCTGTAAACTTGACTTCCGCAGCCTTAAGCCGTTCAGTCCGATAGCTGTGGTACTCTGGGGGATTGATCCTCCTACTCGAGGGGTCAAATCATTGTAATTAAGGTTTAAATCGTACTCAAAGGGTAAAAATAATCCTACATCAAGGCGTTATTTCATACCTGCAGTCCTCAAAGGGGTTAAATCTTCGTACTCAATGGGTTAAGCCATCGTACTCAAGGCGTTAAATCTTCGGACTCAAGGAGTTAAATCATCGTACTCAAGGGGTTAAATATTCGTACTCAGTGGTTAAATCATCGTACTGAAGGGTAAAATCATCGAAATCTGGTTATATCGGACTCAATGGGTTACATTATCGTACTCAATGGGTTAAATAATCGTACTCAATGGGTTAAATAATCGTACTCTGGGTTAAATAATCGTACTCATGGGATTAAATAATCGTACTCAAGGGGTTAAATAATCGTACTCAAGGGGGTTTAAATAATCGTACTCAAGGGGTTAAATCATCGTACTCAAGAGAGAGAGAGTGTGTGTGTGTGTTAAGGGAGGGGGGAGCCAGACCACACACAAGAGCAGAGCCAAGGCAGCAGCAGGAAGAGGGAGGAAATCGTGGTGTGCAAAGGAGGTAAACTATATCCTCCACCCCCCACACACACACACACACACACACACACACACACACACACACACACACACACACACACACACACACACACACCCACCCTTCCTCAAGCCATGACCTGGAGAGAGAGACAGACAGGGGGGAGAAAGAAAGGGGTAGAGAAAGAGAGAGAGATGGATAGTGGTAGCTGTCATAATTACACACATACATTATAAAATATTCCCCCAGCCTTTGTGTGTAAAATTCATTAGTGTATTACTTCCTTATGATTCTCCCCTCTCTCCCTCCCTCACCGCGGACACAATACTCTCTCTCTCTCTTTCTCTCTTCTCTCTCTTCTTCTCTCTCTGGTCCTCTATATTTGCCTTTAATTTACACCTCACGATAATTTCACTCTACACCACCATCACTACTACTACTACTTCCTCCTCCTGGTGTACTCTGTTAACACCTAGTAACTGTCTCATTAACTCAGGTGTTCTTGTTGTCTTCAGTTCACTTGTCGATATTGACTCGACACACGTAACTGACCTGACCTCCTGTGTATGACCCCTTGTCTGTCATGAGGGGCACTACACGGTGACGGGCATCATCAGTACCATCACCTGACTCATGTACCCAGAGGAGACGAAGTTAGTTCCCGTCTTGTTGTAAGAAAATATCTTAACGTCTACTTCAGGGTGTGTAAGTTGCTGCGACACACACACACACACACACACTCACACTCACACTCACTCACTCACACACACACACCGGCCCCTACTACCACCTGAGATCCCCTGTCCGAGAATTGCTGTTCGACACCACAACCGCATCCAGCCCATACGTGCACGAACTGATCGCTATAAGAACAGCCCAGTCCCAACCATTGTAAAAATTATCAATAACATGTAATAAATCAGTGTATTCACTCCCAGTAAACACTGCTCCCTACACTGTCACTATGTTGAAATGAACTGTATTTTGAGCTGATCCCCATCTAAGTTACTATATGTCTTATTTGTGTCACTTATGTCACTTGTATATTATTTGTAATTCGTATCCCATTCCCCAAATATGTAACTGTATATTTTCAGCCTTCTGGCTGCCAAGCCTTTTCAATAAAACCGTTAATTACATATACATATACATACACACACACACACACACACACACACACACTCACACACACACTCACTCACTCACTGCAATTCCCTCACCAAGATTGTATTTCTAAACTTCCTCCCCCAGAGAGAGAGAGAGAGAGAGAGAGAGAGAGAGAGAGAGAGAGAGAGAGAGAGAGAGAGAGAGAGAGAGAAAGAGAGAGAGAGAGAGAGAGAGCCTGCCAGGCACAAAGGACGACGACTGCGGAGCAATGGTGTAAAACAGTGGTGGTAGATATAGTGATGGTCACGGGGTTTTAGTTTTATAGTTAAAGAAGCACTAATTTGATGGTGTGTGTGTGTGTGTGTGTGTGTGTGTGTGTGTGTGTGTGTGTGTGTGTGTAGTTTTTTCTCTCTCTCTCTTCATCTGTTAGGTCGCCCACCCTGCCCTTAATCCTTGTGCTCCTGCCAGCTATTAGTGACGAGGTGTGTTGTATCTCTCACCTGTGTTAGAGAGAGAGAGAGAGAGAGAGAGAGAGAGAGAGAGTTATACCTCCATAATAATGGCCGGGGTTCTTACCTGTCTATTACATGTCAAAATTTGTTTTCATACATTACACATAGTTTACAGTACACCCGTCAGTATACAGTTATTCTCTCTCTGTTGTATATTAAGTTGTATTAATACATCAAGTGAATCTGTATATTCTCCTCCACGTTATACTTTAAGATGTATATTTCTTCACGTTATACACAAATGTATGTCTGCCGCGTCATACACCAGTTAATGTGTGTGTACATAAAACTGGAGGTAACAGTAACTATTGGCCCACACGAGGCAGTCCCGTTTACACCCAACCCCTATCGCTCATAATTATATCCATCCAACCTATGTTTGAAGCTATCCAACGTGCTGAGTTAATGATGATGTTTGGTAACTTGTTCCACTCATCCACTACTCCATTCCCAAACCATTTTTTTCTATCACGCCTAAATCTAAATTTGTCTAATTTAAAACCATTGCTACGAGTTCGCTCCTGGTTGGATAGTGTGAGTACCTTTGTTATATCGCCTTTCTTTAGCCCTGACTTCCATTTATACACCTCTAGCATATCGCCCCTCGGTCTGCGTCTCTCGAGGAAGTGCAAATTAAGATGCTTTAACCTGTCTCTGTACTCAAGGTTCCTAATGCCCGGGATTAGTGTTGTCATTCTCCTCTGAATTCTTTCTAGGGGTTGTATATCCATTATGTAGTACGGTGACCAGAATTGAACTGCGTAATCCAAGTAAGGTCTCACAAGCGCAAGATAAAATTTTAGGATGACCTCGCTAGTCTTGTAACTAACACTCCTTTGTATGAACCCAAGTACTTTGTTAGCCTTGTTTCGAGCAAATACACATTGTTGTCTTAGTTTAAGATTGTTGCTTCATGTTATAGTTTTAAGTATACAACGATGTTTTGTAATGTATGTACTGTTTGTTCCTCAGATCATACACTCAATAATTTTTGTGTGGTGTTATGTGGCGTCATACAGTTTTGGCACTAACGTGTACATGCTTACTTCCACAGGTTGGTATACCCGCACGGTGTCTCCGGGAGGCCACTGGAGGCCGGTACCTCACTGTGAGTAAGAGGCCTTGAGTCACCCCTTCCCCCTACATCCTCCTACCTTCCAACCACCTCCTCCTACCTCCCAACCACCTCCTTCTACCTCCCAACCACCTCCTCCTACCTCCCAACCACCTCCTCCTACCTCCCAACCACCTCCTCCTACCTCCCAACCACCCCCTCCTACCTCCCAACCACCTCCTCCTACCTCCCAACCACCTCCCTCCTACCTCCCAACCACCACCCCCTCCTACCTCCCAACCACTCCTCCTACCTCCCAACCACCCCTCCTACCTCCCAAATCCACCTCCTCCTACCTCCCAACCACCCTCTCCTACCTCCCAACCACCTCCTCCTACCTCCCAACCACCTCCCTCCTACCTCCCAACCACCTCCTCCTACTCCCAACCACCTCCTCCTACCTCCCAACCACCTCCTCCTACCTCCCAACCACCCTCCTCCTACCTCCCAACCACCTCCCTTCCTACTCCCAACCACTCCTCCTTCCTATTCTCCCAACCACTCCCTCCTACTCCTCCCAACCACTCCTCCTTCCTACTTCCTCCCAACCACTCCCCTCCTACCTCCCAACCACCCTCCTACCTCCCAACCACTCCTCCTCACTTCCTCCCAACCACCCTCTACCTCCCAACCACTCCTACCTCCCAACCACCTCCTCCTACCTCCCAACCACCTCCTCCTACCTCCCAACCACCCCCTCCTACCTCCCAACCACCTCCTCCTACCTCCCAACCACCTCCTCCTACCTCCCAACCACCTCCTGGTCATTCAGAAGACTTGATTCATTCAGTGTTAGCAAGTCGTAGTACTCAACCCTCGTGACGTCACAACAACACCACGTCCTTCCTGCCAACACACTCAAGAAGTAAGCCAGAAACTGTGTTGTTTGTTGTAGGTGTAGACAACCCACCTGTCATGGTGTGGTGGTTGGTGTAAACAAGATAGCGAGTGTTGTGGTTGTAGGCGTAGACAATTGTTGTAGGTGTAGACTGGTTGTTGTTAGTGTAGACAATGGTTGATGTAGGTGTAGACAGTGGTTGTTGTAGGTGTAGACAGTGGTTGTTGTAGGTGTAGACAGTGGTTGTCGTAGGTGTAGACAATGGTTGATGTAGATGTAGACAATGGTTGATGTAGGTGTAGACAGTGGTTGTTGTAGGTGTAGACAGTGGTTGTTGTAGGTGTAGACAGTGGTTGTTGTAGGTGTAGACTGGTTGTTGTAGGTGTAGACAGTGGTTGTTGTAGGTGTAGACAGTGGTTGCTGTAGGTGTAGACAGTGGTTGATGTAGGTGTTGACAATGGTTATTGTAGGTGTAGACGACAGTGGTTGTTGTAGGTGTAGACAGTGGTTGATGTAGGTGTAGACAGTGGTTGTTGTAGGTGTAGACAGTGGTTGTTGTAGGTGCTGGACAATGGCTATTGCAGGTGTAGACAGTGGCTGATGCAGGTGTAGACTGGTTGTTGCAGGTGCAGACAGTGGTTGTTGTAGGTTTAGACAATGGTTGATGTAGGTGTTGACAATGGTTATTGTAGGTGCAGACAGTGGGTTGATGGGTGTAGACTGGTTGTTGTAGGTGCAGACAGTGGTTGTTGTAGTAGGTGTAGACAGTGGTTGATGTAGGTGTAGACTTGCTGTTGTAGGTGTAGACAGTGGTTGTTGTAGGTTTAGGACAATGGTTGATGTAGGGTGCAGACTGGCTGATGTAGGTGTAGACAGTGGTTGTTGTAGGTGTAGACAGTGGTTGTTGTAGGTGTAGACAGTGGTTGATGTAGGTGTAGACAGTGGTTGTTGTAGGTGTAGACAGTGGTTGTTGTAGGTGTAGACAGTGGTTGATGTATGTGTAGACAGTGGTTGTTGTAGGTGTAGACAGTGGTTGTTGTAGGTGTAGACAGTGGTTGTTGTAGGTGTAGACAGTGGTTGATGTAGGTGTAGACAGTGGTTGTTGTAGGTGTAGACAGTATTACAGAGGTGCAGACAGTGTTGGATGCAGGTAGACTGGCGTGGTGTGAGACAGTATTGTTGTAGGTGTAGCATATGGTTGATGCAGGTAGACTGGTTGTTGTAGGTGCAGGTGACAGTGGCTGTTGTAGTGTAGACAGTGGTTGTTGTAGGTGTAGACAGTGGTTGTTGTAGGTGTAGACAGTGGTTGATGTAGGTGTAGACAGTGGTTGTTGTAGGTGTAGACAGTGGTTGTTGTAGGTGTAGACAGTGGTTGTTGTAGGTGTAGAAAATACAGGAAAACTAAACCATTATGACTTAAAAGCTGTATAATTTTTATTGTTATTATTATTATTTTTGTTATTATTATTATTATTATTATTATTATTATTATTATTATTATTATTATATTATTATTAATATAAGTATTATTATAAACTCTCTCGGTGTACATTTAGTTACCCAACTGTAGTGAAGGTCAGGTGGGTGTTGTCGCTGGGTGTGTTGGTCTGGGTGATAACAGGGGGGGGGGTGGAGATAACATCAGGTACTGTGAGAAAGATAACACACACACATTATACTTCACCTACCCACTCATCCACTCATGTAGCATCACTCTCTACCCACCCACCCACACCACCCACCCACCAACACCACCCAGCCAGCTCCAGTATGTGTTATTGAACCATTCTTAAGAGATAACCAAAGCAGATGCTGCCCTCACACTTATCTCTCTCAAGTGCCTGATAGTTGCAGCTCTGTCTGTTGTCTGTCAAGTACTTTTGTCTGTTAACATGTGTGTGTGTGTGTGTGTGTGTGTGTGTGAGAGAGAGAGAGAGAACATTGAATATGCGCTGTCAGCGCATTAAATTTGAAGGGGATACGATAAATGAGAGAGAGAGAGACGCCACAAATAACACCGTAACACTCATACATTGCAACACTGCCAAATATTCCAGCGAGGCTTCTACCACAGCGGTTACCTCCTACTACCACACACACACACACACACACACACAACCTAACCTAATCTAACCTTACTCTACCTATCCACTGGGGATCTATATTAGCCGTTCAGTGTTTCGTGGGATTATTCTTCTTCTGAGGAGGAGGAACAAATTTATTGACAAAGCTTGTAATACAGTTTGCCTATTCTGAGTAATTCAGTCAGGTCTTGACACTGAGGGTGGTATCACCGTTCACTGCCACGCAGGACAGATGTTCATACACCAAGAAATACATCATATTCATTAACAGTATATATAGGGTATAATAATAATTAACGGTTTATTGAAAAAGTTCCTCTCAGATAGAGAGGGCACCTCGAGCACTTTCCTCATGTTTACAATTCTGGTTGATTTTGGGCATCCTAGAATGATGAGCATGGCTTCATTTTGCACTACCTCAAGGCTGTGGAGTTGCTTAGGCGGAATAGTCACAAGATGGAGAGCATGAAGTCAACTACAGAACGAATGAAGTGAAGATAGAAAGTACGAGCATGGGTGATGTTAATTCCATAGCCCTTGCCAACAAGGGTTCTGAGGGGTTTAATGCGCTGCAGTAGAAGAGGAGGAGGAGGAGGAGGAGGAAGAGCTACCACCTATAGTAATGGGGTCAAATAAGTCCAGCTGATGATACAGTACATGACACACACACACACACACACACACACACACACACACACACACACACACACACACACACACACACACACACACACACACACACACACACACACACACACACACACACACACACACACACACACACTCTCCTCTCTCTCTCTCTCTCTCTCTCTCTCTCTCAACTGACATACCAGCTGCGTGGGGGAGGAGGTATGCTGGCCAGGTGGAGTGTGGTGGAGGCAGGCACGTGTCTCCTCCCTCCCTCCTTCTCTCCCTCCCTCCTCCCTCCCCCCCTCCTCCCTCTCCCTCCCTCCTCCCTCCCTCCCTCCCTCCCTCCCTCCCTCCCTCCCTCCCTCCCTCCCCGCCACCACCACAGCATGACGCACACCACACCGCCGCCACCATGACCGTGTGTGTGTGTGTGTGTGTGTGTTTTATATGTATGTCAGTGTACAAGTTTGTCTCTCATGACTGCCATAGTGTGGCACACACACACACCACACACACACACACACACACACACACACACACACACACACACACACACACACACACACTACTTCTCCTACTGGTGGTGTAGGGAAGGTCGTAAGACTCTGGACAGCCACCACGGCCGCTGTCTTAATTTAGTCTTACGTAAAATATTCTCTGAACAGGTGTGTGTGTGTGTGTGTGTGTGTGTGTGTGTGTGTGGTGTGTGTGTGTGCGCGCAGAACGCGAGTATATTATGTGTATTCAGGCTTAATCTCCATAACCTGGTGTACCAGCCCCCACTCTTTCCCCTCACCTGCCCTCCCTCTCACCTCTTTCTCTCACCTATCTTCCCCTTCATCCTTCTCACCTATCTTCCCTTCATCCTTCTCACCTGTCTTCCCTTCATCCTTCTCACCTCTTCCCCTCACCTACCCTCTCTCTCCTCACCTCTCCTCCCCTTCATCCTTCCCACCTATCTTCCCTTCATCCTTCTCACCTCTCTTCTCCTTCATCCTTCTCACCTCTCTCCCTCACCTGCCCCTTCTCTCACCTCTTCCCCCCTCACCTCTTCCCCCGCACCTGCCCTCTCTCTCACCTCCTCCCCTTCTTCATCCTTCTCACCTCTCTTCCCTCACCTGCCCTTCTCTCCTCTCACCCTCTTCCCTTCACCTGCCCCTTCTCTCACCTCTCTTCCCCCTCACCTGCCCCTCTCTCTCACCTCTCCCTCCCCTTCATCCTTCTCCCTCACCTCTTCCCCTTCATCCTTCTCTACCTCTTCCCTTCACCTAACCTCCCTCTCATCTGCCCCTATACCATGAGTAACCCACAAGGCTATGGAGGACCCACAAGGCTATGAGTGACCCTCAAGGCCATGGGTGACCCACAGCGATGAGTGACCCACGAGGCTATGGTGACCACAAGGCCATGAGTGACCCACGAGGCCATGAGTGACCCACAAG